TATCTTTCTCAAATTGTTGAATAATGCTGGCTTCTTTCTTTTTTCTGTTTTTGAAGTATAGTTGATTTACAATTTTGTGTTAGTTGTATCTAATGCACATTTTAACATGATAGGTTCAATGGATTTTGTAGCCACAGTTTTCTGGAAAAGTCAATCTCTTATGAATTGTTTTTCAGATCTTTAATACATTTTTTCCTCTAATTCAAAAAAATAGAAAAGATGAATTAGAGGGTCAGTCCAAGAAGACCAAATAATACGAGTGCCAGAAAGGTAACAGAAAACTAGAGGTGGGGGAGGGCAGATTCATCAAAGAAATAACTCAAAAAATTTCCCAAAGCTGAAAAATGAGAATTTCCATAATGAAAGGGGCCACTAGGTACCCAACTCAATGGATGAAAATAGACCTACCTTAATAGACATCATTGTTTTTTTGTTTGGTTGGTTTTGTTTTTGATTCTTTTTTTGGCTGGGCCATGTGGCATGAAGGATCCTTGACCAGGAATTGAACCCACACCCTCTACAGTGGGAGTGTTAACCACTGGACTGTCAAGGAAGTCCCCATATACATCATTGTTAAATTTCAAAATTCTGGGGACCAAGAGACAATCCTTCAAATGTCTGGAGTGGGTCAAGGAGCATTTTTACAAAAACTCAATAGTCAGAAAGATAATGAACTTCTTAAAATGAACTTCAGGAAGCCAGAAGATACTGCCTTCAAGTGCTACAGTCCCTCTGCCTTCTCTAGAGAATGAACTGACAACCATACAGATTGAGGAAGGGCAGTCATCAGAATGTTCAGAGTTAGAGGGGATCAGAGACCAATCCTCCTGCTTTCATTTCTACCTTCTGAAGTACATGCTGCCTCCAATTCAGAAGCTTTTAGGGGTACTGCAATATAAGTTTTCCCTATTGCTGGCTAAAACTGTTAGTTTTTCAAGTCTGTCAAATTAAATATCACTCATTTGCTTTCCAGCTTTCAAAACTGTCACTGCTGACTCATCCCCACTCCACCTCTTTTTTCCTTCTAGTAGGTAGAGTGAAAAAGAGCTAAGTCCTTATCCTCCATATTGGAAAGATGTAGAACTATTTGACTTTTCAAACTATATCATGCATATAACTGAGATGAAATTCAAACTTTAAAAGCAGGCAAAACTCTATTGTACAGAACAGGGAATTATAGACATTATTTTGTAATAACATTAAATGGAGTGTAATCTATAAAAATACGAATCATTGTGGGGTTTCCTTGGTGGCTCAGTTGGTAAAGAATCCACCTGCAATACAGGAGACCCAGGTTCTATCCCTGGGTCAGGAAGTCCCCCTGGAGAAGGAAATGTCAACCCACTCCAGTAGTGCTGGACACCGGAAATCAATATAATACTGTAAATCAACTATACTTCAATAAAAAATATAATTAAAAAATTAAAAAGCTGTCAAAAGCAATACATAGTTTATGGATGCATAGCTTCATTTGCACATGTGAAAATATAAAAATGGACTGAAAGAAAACCCACTAAATTCAGACAGTTGTTTTTTGGTTGAGAAAGGGGAAAGTGGGAGGAAAAATGGAATAGGGGTGTTGGTCAAAGTGGACTTAGCTAAATTTGTTTTACTTTATTTCTTCATAAATGTAGGTTGGAAGAAAATATGGTACATTTTTTAAAGTTTTTTTTTTTACATTTAAAAATTTATTTCTGAGTAGTGGGAATATGGGTGGTTAATTAGGTTGTTCCTTGTGTTTTTCTGTATCTTCTCAATTTCTCAAACTAAAAAAAAAAAAGACACACACAGGCGGAGGAAGGGTTGGAGCAGTGGACATACTGCTTACAAGAATCTGGAACCAACAGAGGCAGGTCTTACAACCTGGGAAGATGGATGACTGAGTATGAGAGAGGTAAGGGGGGCCCAATAGAGCTGCTGAGGGCGGAGCCAGCTTGAGGTGTTGACATCAGGACAACAGGACAGCCACAGGGAATCCCCCAAGTTCCTCTTGGACCCCGAGGAGTTTCTTTCAGGAGTCTAACTCAAGAGTTTTGGTAAGAAAGTGGCCACTGTTGCTCAGTCACAAGATTTGGCACTCCTATAAAAATAACAATTGGTCTGTGAGAGTGTCCATAAAATTTCAGATTTCCAACAGCTGCCTGGCCAGTGTTCATAAAAGGTAGGCTCATGGTGTCCTCTAGTGGTCACAGAGTCTATCAGCCTCCACAGACCGGTAACACTTCTCAGCTTTTTAAAACCCAGTATAAACTCCTCCAACACACCATTATAATACAACTAAAGAAAGAAGAGATGGAGGGGGATGTACATGGAGACAGAAAGAAAATCATTTAACATTTCCCCTTGTTTCAAAAAAAGATCATTAGACAACACTGATCATTTTTATTGTTTTGAATACTGCTATGGATAAGGTTTAAAAATAGCTCTACTACTGAAGACATACAGATGGCCAACAGACACAAGATGCTCAACACTGCTAATTATTAGAAAAATGAAAATAAAAACTACAATGAAGTATCACCTCACACCAGTCATCTCACACACACACACACAAACACAAAAACCCTACAAATAGGGAATTCCCTGGCAAATAAGTGGTTAGGACTTGGCATTTTCACTGCCGGAGCCCAAGTTGGATCCCTGATAGGGGAACTAAGAGCCTGCAAGCCATGGGTGTGGCCAAAAAACAAGCCTACAAATAATAGATGCTGGAGAATGTGAAGAAAAGGGAACCCTTCTATATAGTTGGTGGGAATGTGAGTTGGTGTAGTCACTATGGAAAACAGTATGGAGGTTCCTTAAAAAACTAAAAATAACATACGATCCAGCAATCCCATTCCTGGGCATATATCTGTAAATGATGAAAACTAATTTGAAAAGATACGTGCACCCCACTGTTCATAGCAGGTCTATTTACAGTAGCCAGACATGGAAGCAACCTAAATGTCCATCAACAGATGAATGGATAAAAAGGATGGTGTGTGTGTGTGTGTATATATATATACATATATATACATATATATACATATATATACATATATATATGTATATATATATATAAAAAACTCAGCCATAAAAAAGAATGAAACAATGCCATTTGAAGCTACTGGATAGACTTAGAGATTCTCATACTAAGTAAGTCAGAGAAAGACAAATATCATATGATATCATTCATGAAATTAAAAAAAAAAAGATACAAATGAACTTACTTACAAAATAGAAATAGACTCACAGACAAGCAAATTTATGATTACCAAAGGGGAAAGGCAGGGAAGGATAAATTAGTAGTTTGGGATTATATATAAAATCCACTATTTAAAAAAATCCACTATTAAATATAAACAACAAGGTCCTACTGTGTAGCACAGAGAACTATATTCAATATCTTATAATAATCTATAATGAAAAGGAATCTGAAAAACATACATATATATGTAATTGAATCATTTTGCTGTACATCTGAAACACAACATTGTAAATCAACTATACTTCAATTTAAAAAAAAAAAAGAAGAAAGAAATTAGCTCTACTACTGTTGAGAAGAACAGTGATGGCAAGAATGAGCAAGGTGGGCAAGCACAAGGGGATGTGGGGAGGTCAGAGGGAACACAGCATGGGCAACCTGGATAGGAGGAAAACCAAAAGTCAGACCTAAGAGCAGAAAGAGCCTGGACTGCAGAGTCAGGAAGGCCCTGGGCCCACTGTCTGTTACTTACTAGCTATGAGGTTGTGGGCAAGTCATTTTGCTTCTCTGAAGCTTGTTGTTACAGAAAACTAGTTCCTCTGCCCCTTCGGAATTAGAGGAGAGGCAGCAGAGGACAGGGGCTTCCCTGGTGGCTCAGACGGTAAAGAATCCGCTTGCAATGTGAGAGCTCTGGGTTCGATCCCTGGGTTGGGAAGATCCCCTGGAGGAAGGCATGGCAACCCACTCCAGTCTTCTTGCCTGGAGAAGCCCATGGACAGAGGAGTCTGGCTCAGTACAGTCCATGGGGTCGCAAAGAGTCAGACACGACTGCATGACTAAGCACAAGCACGACATACAGAGTGCAGAGGCCAAGAGCCAGGTGACTCGAGCCAGGCAGCTCTGATGGAATCCCAGCATTATCACTTTCTCTCAGGCAAACTTTTGAACTTTTCTGTACCTAAGTGTTTTGGGGGTGTTAACAGTGCCTCTGAGGTCTGTTGTGAGGTTCCACAGGTTAATAGATATGAAGTGCTTAGAGCTAGCAAGCATTTAAGGATTAGCCCTTACTGTTATCATCATCATCATCATCATCCTTATACACATGTAAAGTACATGGTAGATAATCAGTGTTAGTTCCCTTTCCTCTTCCTTTGGAATTTGGCTTTGGGCAAATTGCTTGTGTCCCCATCACTTGAGTGACACCCATAAACAGGCACACTTAATACTGCACAATACCCTCTGAGTCGTCCATGGGTACCACCCCTTCCTTTACCCCCTCTTCTTTCCACAGGACCGCGAGTCCAGTTCCCAGCTTTCTACTGACATCTTTCTGGAGGAAGTGGGACTAGCAGGCTTCCCTCAGAGAAGCCTGAATTTCTCTGACATTCCAAGGGGAGGAAGCTGTGGATGCGAATGCACCTGGTCCCACAGACATCCTTTGTAGAGGCAAGAGGTTCTCAGAGGGGGCCTGGGATTGCCATGAGCATCCATGCCCACCTACACTCCCCAGCAGGGGACACTTGCTTTCTGCAAGTGTCATCACTGCAGGGACAAGCTGCATGCCCTTGCTCATTCATCTCATGATCAATGTGCAGGGAGGCAGCTGTGGCCAGAGCCTTTGTCCATATATAGAACCAACTGGCCAGGAAGGACAGCCAGCACATTAAGCTGACATCGGCCTGACATCTGTCAGTGGTGACCTCATTAGAACCGAGCTCTTGGCCTTGCAGAATAGCTTGCAGAGGAAGTGAAGGACAAATGAGATCATGACCAGGTAAGTGGGTCAAGACGGGGCCTATGGAAAGAAGCACATCAATAGATTATACAAAAACCTTTTATTTACTGTTTATATTTTGTCTCCTTATCCCTACCCCCTGATCTGGAACCCAGACAACTGCTGAAGCTCCCTGCAATCTGGTTCTTGACACTGGGGCCTTGGATAGGGGTTATGAGAGGTGGGAACCTCTTCACCCACCGACTGTGGAAGTTGAAGGAAGTGTTCCTGCCTGGCTGAAGTGTCAGCAGCTTCCCAAGGGTAGCTCCTCAGTCAGGGGATCCATCCCCCGAGAGATAAGCATGCATCTCTCTGAGGCCCAGAGGCTTCCCATCACTCACAGCTTCTCCACCACGCCAGGCTCTATGGCTGAACCAACCTCTCACCTGGAGATGGAGCCCAACGGCAGAGGGATAGGGCATGGGGGCAGGGTGGAAAATGCTGCAACTCTGGGTTCTAATTAACAAACAGGAAACAGGAAGAGGCTGGCCTGGTTGAACCGAAATGGGAAAGGGGAAAGGATGGTACCACAACACCCAGGGTGGGTTACTGGCCTATGGTGGAGCCAGCTGGACACTTTTAAGAGAGGTTACAGCCCCTATGGGAGTAAGAACTCCCAGCCCCACAACCAACTGGAAAGGGGAGAAAGGAGCTCTGTCCTCAGGTGGACAAAGGGATAATGACCCAATGAACACTTTTGGTCTGAGAGTGCCAGGGAAGGGCACCCATTGGCACACACAAGGGCAGCCAGCCCTCGTCTGCCAGACAGGGGCTGGCCACCACAGCCCATGCAAGTATGCATGCGAGCCCATGCAGCTGTGCCTGCACCTTTACCACCACACTAGGGGCTCTGCATACACATGACCCCACTGGAGATTGATGCTGCCAGCCAGATGGGGCAGAATCAAGGACCCTAAGCTCCAGGGCCCTGCCCCAGTGAGGCCTATCCGTGGAGATGTCAGGGTTCCTTCCCGCAGTCCTGGTGCTGTGAGTCGTCCACACTGAACTCTCCCAGGAAGGCACTGGGCCTTCAGGTGCTCGGGAAGACGAGAGCCTGGAGAGAAGCACTCTCGGGGAGGAAGAAGAGCCTCGGAATGGTATTTGTTCCTCCTTGTCGCAGGTCCTACTTTCCAGGCTCAGAAATCTGAGTCTGCATCCATGAGTTCTGCCTCCATCAGGTTGGTGCGGGAGTGAATGGGCCCCAGACCCTGCCGGCGGCCCTGCGCCCAGGCCATAGGGGCTGGGGCGCTGGGCTCTGGGCAGAAGGGGTTGGAGACCAGGGTCCAGGCTCCAGGTCGGCAGGGCTCCCCAGGGCCCCAGGCACCCGCGGCCACCAGGCACTTCTGTCGGGGCAGCTGTGGCAGCCGAGGGACCGCACTGGAGGCGGGGGCAGGGCCCAGGGCGGGGAGATGAAGCTCCGGGGGTGGCACCAGTGGGCACACCTCCTTCTTCCTCTTCCTCCGCTTCTTCTTCCGGCCCAGGCGCTTCTCCAGCTCCGGGGAGATCTCTGCCTCAACCAGCCACAGGTTGGCTTTTTCCTCCGGGGGCACTGACGGTGGGAGAGAGAACGGGAGCTGGGGACTCTAAGCTCTGTGAGCGTGGCAACTTCTCTCCCCGGGCCCCTACTCTTGGAGCCCGGGACCCATGCTGTAGTTCTCAAAGGGCTTCCTCTCCCCGTCCCCTACCGGCAGCTCCTGGCACTCCACTCCCAGGACCTTCTTCCAGCCTCAACGTCCCCCACCTTCCTATAAGAGCGGACACCCATACCTGGCGTTGCCACCGGGGTGACAGACACATCCTGGGGCAGTATGGCGCCTCTCCGGGCCACCATCTTGGTGACATGCTGGGCCCAGGCAGAGGACACGTCGGCTGAGGGCTCATTGAGGTCAAAGGCCAAGCCCGCTGTGGGGATGGAAAGAAAGGGTGAGGTACCATGACTGCCAGGACCTCACTGTGACTGCTCCTTCCGTATTCGGTACCATTCACCTTCCCCCAGCCCTTAGCACCCACTCAACTTAGCACAGAAATCCCACCCTGGTGAGTGCAGCCAGATCTCTACCCATCCCCAGTCTGAAGAGCACGGGGGCCTGATGAGACGCCAGAAACCCAGTGCCTGAAACCTGACTTCTTGTAGCCCAGGGAGAACAGCTAGAGAAGACGGTTGAAGGTGAGGGAGATGAGTCCGTTGGAACCAAACCACCAGCAAGCAGACCCAGGGGCAGAAACAGAGAGGGGAGAGTAGCCTGGGATAGAGGGGATTGGAGAAGGAGTATGTGAACAGAAGGAGCGCCATTTCCTCACAGCCTTGCAAACAGACCATGAAGCCACACCAGCTTAGAAGGGAACTGGGAACAAGCTCCAGAGAAGAGTGGAAGCTCACCCACAGGCCCGTCGTGGGAGACGGTGTGCATGCTGAAGGAGAGCTCCTGGCCTGGGTTCTGCAGCAGCTCCCGCCGCTTGGAGAAGGCCTTGGCGATCATCTTGCTCTTCTTGATCCGTTTGGGTTCATCATCACTCTGCCCCGTCAACCTGAGGGCAGAAAGAGTGGGGGCAGGGGGCATGGTGGAACAGCTGCTGCCCCTCAAATCTTGCAAAAGACCAGCAAATCCATTCCCTCCAGGAAAGGAGCCTCCAGAGGGCCTCAAGGGCCCTGAAGAGTAGAGGCCTTCTCTGCCAATAAGGGAGCCTAGAATGCAGGGATCCTGTGCCCAGCTCTTGAATCACTCCTCTCTTAGAAGACACGCTGGCGCAGCCCTTGGCCTATCCTTGCAAGGACACGAGGTGTCACCAGGGGGCAGTGGTGGGCCACAGGAAAGGCTGCTTTCGGCTGCTCGGCAATTAGAAATCACACCTGCTCAAGGCTGCGCTGGGACTTGTGAGACCTGACTGAGCCTACAGGATGCTGAGGCTGAGAGAACGAGGCAGTCAGGTCAGGACGGGCTGCTGCTGACCCCACCTGCACCAGGTGCGCCTCCAGATGAGCAGCGTGGCCTTGGTCCAGACCCAGGTGCTCATGGAAATGCCAGTTCCAAACATGGCAAATAGGTTGATCTTCTCCACCAGGAGACTGGGACGGTTCTTGATCTCACAGTCAGGGATGGGCTTCTTGGTGGGCAGCCCGATGGTCACATTGGCCTGGCACCTGTGGTGAGAAGTAGTAGACAGGTGAAGCTTTCCCAGTCTCGCTGGTGGTTGCCCAGACAATCAGTCCCAACACTAAAAAGAGTGAAGCCCACATCAATGATGGATCACCTAGGATGATCATCAGAGTCACCTAGGAGCTTATAATGACTCGTGATGTTTGGGCCACACCCCAGACAATGAAATCAAATTTCTGAGGGAGGGACTCAGGCATCAGGTCTTCCTGCACACTGGAAGCTGGAGACTTTAAGGAAGAGTCTGAAGCACTCAGGATTTTTTAAATATATTTATTTATTTGACTTCGAAGGGTCTTAGTTGCAGCATGTGGGATCTAGTTCCCTGACTAAAGATCAAACCCAGGCCCCTTCATTGGGAGCACGGAGTCTTAGCCACTGGACCACCATGGAAGTCCCAAGAAGCACTCAGGATTTTAATGAGCATTTTAGCTCCTATCCCTGTATCAATATGGACTGCACTTCATGAAGTAGCTGAGGTGCCTTACCCTCGCAGATTTATCATCATGTGACACAAAAAAGCACAGGCAAACCCAGAACACATTAATGGGTTGTTAACCTGTTGTAGAGAGAGAACTATTTCTGTGCAGGGATTTGCAATAAGCTCTGTGAAGAGTCCACGAGAAGTAGAGAGTGAGATCTGTGGCCAACGCAAGAGGTAGGGAGAAGCCAAAACACACAACGGCTTAACAGTTACAAACGCACCTTGGGGATGCGTTTGATTTGATTTCAAGCCAGGCAGCCTTGGGGATGGGAGGGACGGCGGAGCTGGGCAGGGACCCCAGGGCTGTTGGCCACATCTGCAAATTACAGAGCAACTAACAGTGTGAGCACCCAGAGCAAGACGGGCAGTTTCTTTTGCCCTCTGAGGTTGGCACCTAACAGACCCCTGCTGGATCGCAGAGAGGGGTCTCCAGCGCCCACCACTGCAGCCCTCCAGCCCCCAGTCCCCCACTCACAGCACGTAGTCCCGGAAGCTGCGCTCCCACTCGGCCTGGTTGAAGAAGTCATAGAAGTGGCAGCTGAAGGTGATGAGCACAAAGCCAAAGGCCAGGAAGCCAAAAATGCCTGTGGAGGGTCCGGGGTGGGGCAGGGCGTCACCCATCCCAGGTGTGGGAGCAGCGGTGGGGAGGAGGGTGTTCACCCCACATGGGCCTGAAAGACTCTGGGGTGACTTCGTGCTGGGTTCAGTTTAAGAACTGTTTTCTCTACAGACTTATGGTTACCAAGGTGGGGGAAGTAGGGCAGGGATAAATTAGGAGTTTGGGATTAGCAGAGAGAAACTATTCTATATAAAATAGATAAACAAGGTCCTACTGTATAGCGTGGGGAACTATATTCAATATCCTGTGATAAACCATAATGAAAAGAATATGAAAAAATATCTATAGATATACATATGATATATATATCTGAGTCACTTTTCTATACACTAGAAATTAACATTGTGATTCAAGTACACTTCAATAAAACATACAAAAGAATTGTTTTCTCCAAAATAAGATAAGAAATTAAAAGGCACTTAAGGGCTCTAAATAGGTCTCAAATGTTGGCATGAATTTGAATTCTTCCAACTGAGAAGGAAGGTACCTTCCCTTTTGAGCTGCTACCATCAGCATCACCACCAATACACACACACACACACAGCCTAACAGCCTAGTCTTGCCCCCTGGCTGCTAACTGCTAACTTCAGCCTCCAATACCCTTCCCCAGTGGGCGTGGTGATAGACTGACCCACTCACCCAGACGCAGCATGGTCTCGTTGATCTTGCTGGCTGCCTTCTCGCTCAGCAGCCCAGGGTGGTTGCTCTTGATGGAGAACAGGGTCATGACTCCTGAACATAAGGGAAATGGCAGACATTAGTGGGGGGCCTCCCATCTGTGAGGGATGGGTGTGTGGCATCCTAGGAGGGTCCTATGGTCCTGCAGTCCCAGGTCTGATGACTTGTGCTGATTTAAAGCTGGAGGAACTGGAGACACTGGAGTGCAGCTGGTGGCACACATGCTATGGACTGGAAAGACTGGAGCAGGGCAGACCGACAGTGGAGATCAAAGATGCCTCAGTCCTGATCCAGCCTCCCCAAGAAAGGCAGCGGGTCAAAGCTATTATGATGAAAAAGGCCAAAGAAGAGACCCCAAGACAGTGCTGTCCAAGGGAAATATAATGTGAGCCACACTGATAATGTCAAGTTTCCCAGAGATGGCTGGATGGCATCATCAACTCAATGGACACGGGTCTGAGCAAACTCTGGGAGATAGTGAAGTACAGGGAAGCCTGGCATGCTGCAGTCCATGGGGGTCACAAAGAGTCAGACATGACTGTGCAATTGAACAACAACTCATAACCTCAAATTTTCTAGAAGCCACCTTCAAAAAGTAAAAGGACACAAATGAAATTAACTTCAATACACCTTAAAAACAATAAATCAAAAAAAAAAAAACAGTAAGTCATTGTCTACAACATTATCATTTCAACGTGTAATCCATATAACAAGCTGTTAATGAGACTTGTTTACTTCTGTGTGTGCCTGAGTCTTTGAAGTGCAGTTTGTATTTTATGCTATGACACGTCTCAACCTGGACTAGTTTCAACACACGTGACTGGTGGCTACCGCACAGGATCACACAGATACAAAACACACATCAGAGGCCCAGCCACTGCCAAGGAGAGGGAAACAAGGTGGGCTGAACAGGAGCTGCGGGAGGAAACTGAAGTTTACAGAGAACGCTCAACAAAAATGAGCTCAGACACGGAGGCTCATTGTGGAGGTGGCAGATTGAAACAGGGAAACAAGGAAACAGAATCTGTGTATGTTGTGAAAACTCTGCATGTGTGTGCACTGTGGGCAGAAAGGAGCTGAGAAACCAAGCTCCAGAGACTGAGCGTGTATATAAATGCACAAACATGATCGAAGGCCCCCAGCTGGCCCACGTGGACGAAGTAGGTTACTCAAGGTGTTTATCACACAAGGGCATCTGGCCAGAGCTGAGCAGGGGTAGGGACCCAGCCCAAGCTCCACTCAGCAAGCCGTGAGCCCTCACACAAGGCCGGATTAAGGGCGGCATTTTTGTGGCTGAACAAAGACGCTGCCCCACATCAAGTGACGTGGTGCTATGTCTGTCCTTCCCCTTTACCCCAAGGCCCCAGTGAGCCAGCTGAGGTCCTGCCTCAAAGGCAGCAGAGCTGGCAGCTCCTGGCTCCTGCTTACACAGAGCAGGTGCTCAGCCAGGTCCTCACTCACCTCGGATGAGGAAGTAACCTCCCACAATGAGCACCAGGCCGATGGGGGCCAGCACGAAGCCAGCGCGGTATCGGTAGTTCTTATAGCCCACAAAACAGATGCCGCTCACAGAGTCCCCATCCACCTGCAGGAGGAAGGGGTAGGGGGACAGAGTTGGTCACTTTCTCCCTCACCCAAGTCTGCCCCACACGGGTCCCCACCCCGTACCAGTCACTAGACCTGGGCCACGGCGAGGATTGCCACAGTGAGGACAAAGGGGAGTGACCACGTGAGCAGGTGGAAGTAGGAGGTCTTGCCCGAGAGAGGCTGGTAGGTGGTCCCCAGGGCTTTGAAGGAGGTGTGCCAGGCATAGGTGAGGACCACAAACCAGACGACGCCGGCCATCAGGGCGTAGTACACGATGACAAAGATGATGACGCAGGACAAGGTCTCATTGGAGCTGCGCAGACAAGGTGGGTGTCACTTGGGGCGCTCATTCTATATTCCATCTAGCAAGTCTCCCCCCCTCTGGCCTTGTGGCCCCAAGACTCCTGGCTTCTAAGGTCTGGAAGTTCTTCTAGGAGTCAGGGCTTGGAGACCAGGCTTGGGTCAGAAGTGAAGAGGATATAGAAGATGTGAAGGGTCCAGGCTCTAGTGCTGGAGACCTTGGGTGCAACAAGGCAGAGCTGAATCCCACACTGAAAGCTCCATTTCCAGTCCAACCTGCCCCTTTTGTGGAAAACGGGCATCAGCCTTTTTCCCTTGCCCTCGCCTCTGGGAACCCCAGGACACCTACGTGGGCTCCCCGAGCCTCATGGTGCCATCAGCACGGCAGACGATCTCCCGGCGGGCCCCGTCCATGAACTGGGCCAGCCAGCCAATGCTGCCCACGAAGAAACATGCATTGACGTAGAAGAGGATGACAGCAGGGTAGCGATTGGAGTTCCGCCAGTCAGCCACAAATGTGGCCTAGAAGAGAGAAGAGAGGCCCGTTCTGTGAGGTTAGGGCTGTTCTGCCACTCTTATCAGAACTCCCAACCCTGCTAATCACCACCCTTCCCTGAGGACCCCTGTAAGTCCTCCTCCCCTCGACTCCCAGAGCCCAGCCTCTCACGGACAGTTGGCTCCCTCCCTGCTTTACAGGCAGCCTGAGGGTCCCGGGCCCCCGCCTCTCCCCATACCCTCCACCCCAGGTCTGCCCTTCGCTGACCAGGGTGAAGAGTGTGCAGAGGCCCGTGACAGCCCCGAAGGCCGCGATGTAGCTGTGCATGTCCTGGTGCTCAGCCTCGGTGAAGAGCGGGTTCTGACACTGGATCCCACAGCCCTCCACGTCCTCATACCAGCTCTTGGGGTTGTCAGTCCGAACCAAGGGAGCCTCACATTGGCCGGAACTGTTGAACTTGATGTTCTGCACCTCATTCTGGCACAGAGAGAAGAGGAGAAGACAATACAATGGAGAGCAGTAGGCTTGGGGTGACCTTTGGTTTAATAAGAGGTGCAGGGTTAGCATGGCAGAGAGGCTGAAAGTGTAGGCACTGTAGACAACCTTCCAGCATCTGAATGCCAGCCTTGCCGCTCAGTGATCACATGGCCTAGGGCGTTATGTGACCTCCCTATTAGCTCAGTTTCCCGATCTATAGGACAGCAATACTTACTTCATGGTGTGATCTAAGGGTTAAGTAAATGAATAAATAAATGTAAGATGTTTAAAATGTATTTGGACAGTACTAAATAATGACTGGTGGTGGTGATGGTTTAGTCGATAAGTCGTGTCGGACTCTTGCAATCCTGTGGACTGTAGCCTGCCAGGCTCCTCTGTCCATGGGATTTTCCAGGCAAGAATACTGGAGTGGTTTGCCATTTCTTTCTCCAAAAATAATGATTACTATTATTATTATTAATGTGCTCTCCTTCACCCAGAATTAGATCCCATCCCTGTCTTGGTGTCTCCAGCCAAGTTTTACATGTGCAAGCCTTGACTCCCTAAATAAAGGATAAACTTTCTGAGAACAGGTTCGTCACTCATGACTCCTGTAACCCCCCATCATGTAACAGAGTGGGTGCTCAAAAATAGTTTATAGCTAGATAGATAATCCCTGATGGACTGGCCCAGCTTTGGTTTGGATCTGTGGCTTGCTGAGCCCATGACTTGGGATCTTTCAGCACAGAAGGCTCTGTCTGAGCTTCCCTGTCCCTGCTGGGCCCTGTCCCCGTGACCAGCTCAGCCCCGGCCCCGCAGAGCACTCACCGGGCAGCCCTCGGGGAAGTGGTCGGGGGTGCAGCGCAGGAAGTCGGGCCAGCCCCGCTCCCTCTCCACGATGGCACAGGGGCCGCGGGTGGCCTGGCAGAGGGTACGGCTGGGCAGCTCCACCCGGTCATTCTCACACTTAGGCATGTACACAGCACACAGTAGGGGCTGGATCACTGCCCAGCAGCGGGGGGCGTTCCGGAGGCCTGGTGGGTGTAGCCACAGTGTGGATACATTGCAGTGAAGACCCCTCCTCACTCTGACCCACAGGCCCAGCTGCACCCCTGTTCCCTGGGCCTAAGGCATCTCTCTTGGCCACGCTGCAGGCCACGACTGCTCAGCACCGTCAGGCACAGCATTTCTCAGCCGGGCATTTGGGTGGGACCATTCTTTGTGCAGGACTGTCCCATGTACTGCAGGACATCTGGCATCCCTAGACCCTGCCACTAAAGGCCAACAGAACCCCTAAGTCCTGGTGACAACCAAAACAATACTCCCCACCCCTCCCACTCCAGGCTTGGGATGGGAAGAGGCTTGAAAAGGACTTCTGGGACACTAGTGGTGTTCTATTTCTTGAGCTGGTACCAGTTACACGGGTATATTTACCTTGTGAAAATCAATCTGTGCCCTTTTCTCCATGTATTAATATTGCAGTTCAATTAATGTTTTTAAAAAGCAGCCCCCATTTCAAAATGACCCACTAAGGGAATGCTGGCACCTCTGGCTGAGACCCAAAATCAATTTACCTTTTACGTTTTCAGGGGCATTCTTAAACCTTCTACAGTCCATGGGGAAGGAGGGCTGTGGTACCCACCCCCACAGGGCCTGTGCACCAGATCCAGGAGGTGTTTCCCCTTGCCCAGACCCCCGGACCCTTGTTCCTCTTACCAAGCTGAGGTGGGACAGAGAACAGGTAGGAGCTTAGGAAGAGGTAGTCAGGGGAGCCAGGTACGCCAAAGCCAGAAGAGGAAACAGGAAATCAGATGGAGACAAACAGGGGAGGCTGTATCCAGCGCAGGGGGAGGAAAGGCCTTGTCAGCAAGACGGACGCAGGTGGAGGTCTCCCAGCACCCCCGCCCCGCCCAGGCCTCTTCCCTGTTCCCCTGCTGGCTGAGCTCACTCAGCGTTCCATCCCTCTGCTCCTCCTGAATCATCCCTCCTGCAGGAACACCTATTTCCCAAACAAGACGTTGTATTAGGAGAAGCTTCTGAGGAATGAGAGCCAAGGTGGGGAATGCCCAGGCTGGAGCTGGTGGGGACAGGTAACTTCTCTTTTGGGGAGGAAGGGATAAGGAGCATGGACCTCGAAATTTGGCCCGCCTGAGTCCAAATTGTGGCTCTACCATTTCCTGGCTGTGTAATCTTGGACAAATTACTTAATCTTGAGCCTTAATTTCCTCATCTGTGAAATGGGGCTAATAGATGTAGTGGAACTATGGTGCAGAGTGAGATAATGTGCCAAATGGACATAGCGCAGTACTTGTCATATACTAAGCACTCAAGAGATATTAGCTGTTACTGTTACTTATCTGAGGTCTCTGACCACACACAGTTCTCACTAGCAAAGTTAAATAAATCTTGAAAGACCATTGAGGGGACCTCCCTGGCAGTCCACTGGTTAAGACCCCAAACTTCAATGCAGTAGACTCGGATTTGATCCCCGGTCAGGGAACTAAGATTCCCCATGCAGTGCGGTGCAGCCAGAAAAAAAGAGAAAAAGAAAAAACAAACCTACTGCATAGTACAGGGCACTCTATTCAATACACTGTAATGATCTATAGGGAATAGAATCTGAAAAAGAGTGAATATATGTATATGTATAATGATTCACCTTGCTATACAGTAGAAACTAACACAGCGTTGTAAATTAATTTTAAATAATAAAACAATAAAATGTAATAAAATTAATTTTAAATATAAAATAAAAATTAATTTTAAAAATAAAAACTCACTGAAGAAAGGCAAAAAAAAATTGCTTAAAAAAAAAGAAAGGCAACTGATGAGGCAGCTCAGGGAAAAAATAAATTGGATCCTTACCCCATTTCTTACATAAAAATAAATTCCAGATGAATCAAAATAACTACATTATTTTTAAAAAATTAGACTACTAGAAGAAAAAGTAGAAAATGTTTTTGAAAATCCTAGAGTGGAGAAGGCCTTTTGCAGTGTGACACGAAACTAGATATTTTGAAATAAAAGATTTGAAGAAAAGACTTCAGAAAAATAGATAGTGGCTTCCCAGGTGGTACTGGTGGTAAAGAATGAACCTGCCTGCCAATGCAGAAAAATAGATAAATTCAGTAGGGTGAAAAACAAGATCATAAGAAAAGCAACACTCTGAGAAAATATATTTCCAATAAACATCACAGGTAAAGAGAGAATTACTTTCCTTATGTGCATAAAGCTCTTATAAATCAATAAGAAATTCATAATCCTATAGAAAAATGGGCAAAAGATAAACACAAGATCACACACAGAAAATACAAATGGCCTTTAAAAACATAAAGAGATGCTCAGTTTCACTCAATAAATGTGAAATAGAGCTATAATGACAAAAAGAAAAAAAAAGAACTATAATGACATATTTTTTTAATCTTTAGAAAGATAAAGATCAAAACAGTTGAAAATGCTATATTGGCAAGAGCGTAGGGGAAACTGGCAGTTTTGAACATTTTTAGTAGGAATAAAAATTATTAAATACTTGTGGAGACTATCTGATACCAGCTATCAAATATACTCACAATTCCACTTTATATGTTCACAAAAATCATATATAAGATTATTTATTGTAATATTGCTTGTAGTAGCAAAAGAAGAGAAACATCCTTCATATATATCCATCAATAGGAAACCTACTATAGAAAATGTCACACATCAATATAATAGAACACTATCCAGGCTTGAAGTATTTGTGATGAACTGAAACAACCTCCACTATGTCCTGTTAAATGGGTGCAGTTGAGCAGAGGACAGCCTGGAGATCCACTATTGGTTATGGGAGGGAAAATAAGAACACATATACATTTGTACATATGTTAGATTCTACAAAAAGACACACAAACTAGGGTTGGCGGTTGCCTGTGGGAGGAGAAATGGGGAGCAGGAAGCAGAAATGGAAGGGTTTAACTTTGGTTACTTTTCAATCTTGTACTACCTATTCTATTAAAGTAATTAAGCTTAAAAAATTAATATGCAAATCACTAGGATGGGGGAAGCTTCCCACAGAAGAGAAGGAAATGCAACTGGAAATAAGAAGAAAGGGCACATCGATTTTATCTATTTTTTTTCCTTTTTTTTTTAGCTGTGAGACTTAACCACTGGACTGCCAGGGAATTCCCTTGTTTTATTTCCTTAATAAAATACAAAACAAAAAGAAAAAATATGAACATAGGTGTTATAACAGTTTCTTCACTTTTTCTATATTTATGTACTTTAAAAATAATATTTGCCACAATTTAAACTTTAAAAAAAAATTTGTGTGATTCTGATGATCAATCAAGTTGAAAACCATTGGGCTAAGGATGGTTCAGCATTAGAAAATTTCATCAATGCAATTTACCACATTGACAGAAAAAAATCATATGATCATCTCAACAGAAGAAGTTGTTGATAAAGTTCAACATCCATCCATGATAAAAATAATAATTGGCAAATTAGGAATAGAAGAAAATTTCCTTAATCTGATAAAATATAACTACGAGATTCCTATACCAAATATCACATTTAATGGTGAAAGGTATAAAAGCTTTCTCTTTAGAATGAAGAAAAAGTCAAGGATGAAGACTGCTGCTACTATTATCACTTCTATTTAACCATGTACTGGAGGTCTTAAGTAGTGCAGTAAGGCAGTAAAGAATATAGGACATATAGCTCGAAAAAGGAGAAACAAAACTCATTATTCACAAATGAGATGACTTTGTATGTACATAAATGTAGTTAGTTTACTGGATTTAAAATCAATTATATTTCTATGCATCAGCAACAAAGGAAATGTAAAATCACAATTTATAACAGCATTAAAATGTCAAGTACCTAGGAATAAATCTAACAAATGGTATTTAGAACTTTTTGCAGAAAACTGCAAAAAATACTGAAAAAATTAAAGATCTACATACAATACTTAATGAAATGATTAGAAGACACAATATTGTAAAGATGTAATTTTTTCAAATTAATCTATATACTCAAAGTAATTCCAATCAAAACCGCCAACAAATACTTTTACATGAAAATACAAAGGGTTAAGAATAGACCACACTGTCTATTAAATAGTGCCATCCTCTAAAGCAGAGGTTCTTAGCCAGGAGGTTGCAAAGAGAATTTAGGGGTCCATGAACCTAGATGGGAAAAAACTACAGCTAACTGAAATTTAGTCTTTCTCAATTATGAACATGAGCAACAAACCACAGAAATGTTAGTAATACCTGTGGCTTTGTCACAAATGGATATTAGATACTTTTGTTGGAAACACCTCAAAATATTGTTACTGCTCATCACTACCTTGACATTACAGTACTTACTAAATCCAGACTAAATCTTATCTATGTACTAATAAAGAAGCACACATACATTAGATTACAAACTTGTTTTTTAACACTTGATAATTATATTTCAATATACTTCATTTCTTTTGTAATCCTACATGCTTTTCAATCCTGTGTTCTACTCTATGAATTAAAAACATTACACTGAGAAGGGGCCCATAGGTTTTACCAGACTGCCAAAAAGGTTTATAGCTCAAAGAAGGTAAAGAACCCTGCTATACTGAAACACATACCTTACCATATGTAAAATAGATAGCTAGTGGGAAGTTGCTATACAACACAGGGAGCTCAGCCCGGTGCTCTGTGACAACCTGCAGGGCTGGGCTGGGGGCTGGGGTGGAAGGGAGGCTCAGGAAGGAAGGGATATATGTATACTCATGGCTGATTCATGCTGTTGTATAGCAGAAACCAACACTACATTGTAAAGCAATTGTCCTCCAATTAACAATAAAATTTAAAAAAAGGACCATGCTATAAAGATATGATAATTAAAGGGACTTCCTTGGTGGTCCAGTGGTTAAGACTCCAAGTTCCCAAATCAGGGGACACAGGTTTGATCTCTGGTTGGGGAACTGAGATCCTGCATGCCCAGAGGCATGGTTAAAAAAAAAAAAAAGATTATGATTAAGATGGTATGATAAGACATAGACAAATAGATGTAT